AATGGTTAGTTGTATCACGGCAAACATATGTGCAGCAAAACACATACCAATTGCACAGTTTCTACGCATAGGAAGGTGTCTTGGCCTGGGTTCTGTAGAGAAGCAAAACCAGAGAAACTGAGAGAGAGAGACAGGTTTGTCTCAAGGAGATGGTCCATGCCGTTGCAGGAGCCGGCAAGGTCCAAGTGAGTGGGTCAGATGGGGCTTTCTGGTAGACTCAAGAGTAACAAAGCAGAGCGCAGGGTTCTGGCTGCAGAGGGAAAGTCATCCAAGCTCAACAGTAAAATGGGAAATTGCTGATGACGCCCATCTTCCAGTGTGCATTGTGTCTTCACTTATCTTCATGGCTGAGTAATATTCCCTTGGATGTATGTACTACATTTTGTTTCTCGGTTTATCTCTTGACAGACGTTTCCCTTGTGTCCGTCGGGTGGCTAGTGTGAAACACGCTGCAATGAACATCAATGTACCTTCATTTTCTCTGGATATAGAACTAGGAATGGAACTTGCTAGGTGATAGGAGAGCTCTATGTTCAATTTTTTGAGGAATAACGTTTTCCACAGTGGTTGTGCCATTTTACATGCCCCCCAAGAAAGGGTGAATGTCCCTATGTATCCACATCCTCGCCAGCATATATAATTTTCCAATTTAAAAAAAACGTGCCTTACAATGGGAGTGAGATGGTAGCTCCTCGTGGGTTTGATTTGGACCTCCGTATTGATTGATGCCATTGACCCCCTCTTCATGAAACAGGTGGCCATTTTTTAATATCCTCTTGGCTGAACTATCTGTCCAAGCCCTTTGCCTGTTTTTTATTACTATTATTTGATTGTTTGCCTTCTCATTGTTAAGTTGTGGAAGTATTTTATAGATTTGGGATATTCGTCTCTTTTCATTTATATAGTGCCCCCCCAACTTTCTCCTAATCAGTAGGCTTTCTTTTCATTTTTAACATAGTTATTTAATGTACAAAATGATTTCACTTTTGTGAACTCCTATGTATCTAAACTGCTAGAGTTTTTGTTATAATATCTGATCTCTTTCTAGATAGTAAGGCTTATAGCCTCAACCCCATATTTTCTTCTAAGAACTGTTTGGTTTTAGTCTTTATATTTAGGTTTGGGATCGAGTTTAAATGTTTTTGTATATGGTGTAAAATATGGATCCTTATTCATTCACTTGCATGTTGAAATTCCATTTTCCCAGGATCATTTGTTAAGTTCCCATGAAACAGACTTAGTGTCCTCGTTGGAAATGAGGTGGTCATAGTCATTTGCATTTATTTCTGGACTCTTAATTGTATTCCTCTGGACTATGTGT